ATGCTGCGTACGCGATCCGTGCCAGTTATCACACGGTGCTGCGGGCATCGCCCGCGCAATTGCTGTTTGGCGAAGATATGCTAACCCGCCAACTACACTTCGCTATTTGGAATTTCCTCTCCAAGCAGCGCTTCATGGGGATACTGCAGGAAAACGATCGTGAAAATATGAAACGCGTACAGCACTTCTACCGAGTTGGAGATATTGTGATGCTGCGCATTCCTGCACGCGAAAGAAAGAAAACAGACCCAGTCTCGAAAGGTCCATACGTGGTCAAGGAGGTATTCGACAATGGAACGGTGCTTCTCGACACGGGAACCGCCGAGTACCGTGCCAACATCCGACGGATTTTTCCCTGTTAAGGGAACTTCGTCATCCTGGCATCGGGGAGAATGACATCATTCCGCACCCTGTCGTCACTTAGGCATGTCCTCACTGGTGCAAGAGACAACCCAGACCGATCTTGTGGCGACTGAATTCATAGGTTCAAAGGAAGGCCTCCTCCAGGGAGCGCCCTGCATAAGTAGCTAACGCCAGGATAATCTCAGTTCGCATTTCGCACAGCTCAACACAAGTGGCTTTTGCACGTGGTCTTGACCATCCTGTTACAGTGTAACGGGGTACGAACCCAAGAAAAAAAGTACCCAAGTTACATGAAGAGTGACCTGTCACTCTTGTAATACCTGGTACATGGTACTAGAGGCTCTAGGAGCCAACCATTGCATATCTACATAGTTTTACGATAGGTGAGTTATAGTTTGTATTAGAAACTAAGCTAAGCTTACCTATAAATACATTCAGTGTTAAACGTACCCTTAACTGAGTACTTCATCTCCTCAGACCAGGGACACGTGAATTGTCGTTCACTTAGGGTTTGTAAACTCTTGGAAGCCTGCCTCCTCAGCGGAAGGAGCAGTGTGACCCCGTCACATAGAGGGTGCTGTGACTTCTGAGTGAGCATTTGCTCATAGCCATTCATTATCGTGGGCGCAAACGCATTCGACGTGTAATGCTGTGAAACCGCCTTCATCTGCAGCGCCGCTGCAAAATTCTCTGATGACGAGAAGGAAGTGGATCGTTTGGTGATGCCACTTGACTGCTTAAAATCAGTCAAATTCGATTTATGTTGTGGTAGATGCGATTTAGTTCTAGTCTATCAGACGGTATTGCCAGTGAACATGTCGTTAATGAATAGAGCTCGAAGGCAGATAAGTCCAAATGGTGTTAGGGTGGTTTAGATAAACTATTTGATGCAAGTACAAAATGAAATGAGAGAACATCGAACCGGCAAGGTATTTCGTTCTTATTATTTGCGGATGGGACAGCACCCACAGATAATATCAGATCTTTAGAGATTATCTGCTATAGCGGATAACTCAACCAATTCAGGGAGGGTGTACATTATACGCGTATTCTGACCTCCACCGTGATCACTGGATGAACTCTGGATTAAATCCAGGACCATGTATCCACCGTCATATCACTATATCCAACTTGGCTTTAACCATGGTCTATGCATCACAATGTTGGATATTGACTGTAGACGTAAATCTAAACTTTGGGGGGGGGGGGCTAATGATTGACTTGGTCGACCGTGTAGTGACGACTAGTCCATGTTTATCGATATGCGCAGACCCGAAGCATACTGTTATACTTTTAATGTAGCGATTTTTGAACAACCTATAAGAATGGGATTCGTTTTGGCCGTGGATATGCGGCTGGCGTGGTGCCACTAAATTCTTGTGAAGGAAGATTGTGGTGAGTTGGTCTGTGCCGCCGACAACTCATGTTGCCAAACTCGAAGGAGTGTTCACACATGCGGGAACGCTGTCGCTGCATGCACACACGAGTATCGCATGTA